GTCCACACATAAGAGGTGTGGGTGAGAATTCACACAGACACACACACACACACACACACACACACACACACACAGCAGATAGTTAATCAGTTCCATAAGCACTGGTCCTATACCTCATACTCACAAAACACACCGCACAGGAATAATGCAGGCAGAGAGTTTAAAACACAGCATTTTATACCAAAATGAGGAAGCAATTGTAGGATATAAATACGATTTTACCCATATTCATAACAGACAATTAGTTCTGCATAGGAAGTATGTTTCTTCAGTGTAAGATGAATGTGATGTGAAGACACTGAGCAGCATGTTTGCATACGTACCAGCGCGGCTATAGAAGGAATAAACGGATCATTCCACAGCATTTGCTTACTTTATTGAGCAGATATTGAGAAACTCTGAACACAAGAGCAATAAAAACACAGATATGAAAATGACTGGTAGCTGACTGTGGTCATCCAGCAGGACTGTATAACATTAATTACATATTCACAATGAATGATGTCTTCATAAATGTTTGATGTGTTTTGAAACAGACGGTTATGATGTGCTGCTGTTCACACTGAACTCAACAGAAACCATCTGTAACAGCTGATGCTCGTAGCTTTACTGGCCTTCAGTGAATCTGCTCTGTTTACAGATATCAAATGTTTTTCTAGATCAAAGTTGACTAATATCCTTAAAGAACAACCACTTTGAAAGTGTGACTGCTAACTAAATTCTTAGTCTTAAAAGGCACATCTTAAAGTGACTTTGTTTCTGTCTATAAATCCTCGTATTCCAAACCTCTTTACAGTCCTGCTCTCAGAGAACTATTTTCCTGTTTAACACTGTAAAGCTGCTTTGACACAATCAGTGTTGTATAAAGCGCTATACAAATAACGGTGACTTGACTAATGTGAGTCTTTCTGAGAGCTGGACATATAAATATATTTTATGTGAACGTATACTGTGATTCTGTGCATTTGGACCAGATGAATATTAATAAGTTTTTCTTTTTATACTTTGTTTTCATTTTAATTTTAGTTTAAATTTTAGTTTTTTTTTCTGTGTTTTGTCATTTTTATTAATTTTTTAAAATATGCCTATATACTTTTTAATCATTTTTACTTCAGTTTTAGTATTAGTTATTTTAGTACATCAGGTTAAACTAAATGAAAATGAGAAAAAGTTGCCTTGGCAGCTAGTTTTTACATTTTATTTCATTTTTTTTCAGTTTTTTTTATTAAAGTTTTTAGTTTTAGTTAACTCTAATAGCCCTGATTTGGACAGTTTCTGAACTCTGTCAGTGGTTATTATGCATGATTAATTTTCATATTTTAACCTTATTTTCAAATGATGATTTGTGTATTTTAATCAAACAGGATGAAAAACAAACCAACTAACACCACAAAAAACATCACAGAAATCAATCAATCAATCTAATACCCACTGAGGATTTATTTTATTTATTTATTTTATCATTTATCATTTTTATCATTATGGGAATGTTACTGTTGAATGTTCTCTGAATGTTCTGAAACACGAAAAAAAAAAAAACATTGAATGACAATCTAAAAGAAAACATTTAGTTGACTATTTATTTTTATTTTTTCAGAAAAAAAAACAGTCCATAAATGATGTATAAATGTTTTTCTGCTAATGTTTTGAGAACATTATTAAAGACCAGATATGAATAATCACCCTGCATCACACTGGTTCCAGGATTTTTCCATTGGCTTTTGGATTATATGTTTTATCATGATAATCTTCACAGATGAACACATTTATGAATTTTGAAACATAAATAAAATGGGCAGAAGTAAAAAGCTAAATGTAGGCTATAACTACACCACGCTCACATGACCTCAACATCGCCATCGAGTCTTTATTTAGAAACATTTTCCCTGAAAGTTTGATTTAGAATAGTTTACAAGAGCATGAATATAAACACTACGAGGCTGTAAAAGTGAGTAGATGAGTTGACCTGTTTGGTCTGATGACGTTTAATGTCCCGACAGCTTCTGTAGGAGATAGCTATTATCAACCACTTTTTACAAGACAAGTAAAAAATACACACGGGTGTATTACTGATGGATTTCAAAATATCTTGAGCTTGTGTTTAACACAGACCTTATTTCCTGCATTTAACCAAAAACCCAGACTGATTGATTTTGACATTTTCTTCTATATCTTCAGCTAGTCTGTAGCGTATAACTGCAGAAACATTAATCAACATCTTCTGCTCTCTCCAGACCTGAAACTCCGTCATCATGTCCAGCAAGCGAGCGAAGGGAAAGACCACTAAGAAGAGGCCACAGAGAGCCACTTCAAACGTGTTTGCCATGTTTGACCAGTCACAGATCCAGGAGTTCAAGGAGGCCTTCAACATGATCGACCAGAACCGAGACGGATTCATCGATAAAGAGGATCTCCATGACATGCTGGCCTCTTTGGGTGAGTCTGACGGAGAGGATCTGACGTAAGAACATACTTTAAAGAATTTGAGCTTTTCTGTTTTGCAAATCCTTTTTTTTTTTTATTGATCTTTTGAAATATTCTAATATTTTGAGATACTGGATTTTTGACTTTCATGAGCTGTAAGCTCTAATCATCAAAATTAAAACAAAAAAACTTTTGAAATGTTTTACTTTGCATGTAATGAATCTATAGAAAATATGAAAGTTTCACTTTTTGAAGTAAGTTACAAAAAAAAATTTACTTTTTCACGATATTCTAATTTTTTTAGATGCACCTGTATTAGTCTTCTGGATCAAACACTGACCTTCCCTTTGGTGTGTGTGTGTGTGGTACCTGTGCTCAGGTAAGAACCCGTCTGAAGATTACCTGGAGGGCATGATGAGTGAAGCTCCAGGGCCCATCAACTTCACCATGTTCCTCACTATGTTTGGAGAACGGCTCAACGGAACCGACCCGGAGGACGTCATCAGGAACGCTTTCGCCTGCTTCGACGAGGAAGGATCCGGTAAAACAAAAACTGCCTCAATATCAAGAGTTTGACCAGACCTGCAAAAATGGAAAATAAATAAATAAATGTAATAATAGAAAAATTAATAAAGGAATATATGACTTGATAAAACATTTATTTATTGTTAATTTATTTTTGTATTACTTTTTCCCTTAATTTATTATTTTCTATATTTATTTTTTAACTAAATTTTTTTTTCAGCTTTATTTGTTTGTTCATTTTATTATTTATTTTTCCAAAATGTATTTATTTCCATAATTATTAATACATTAATTTATTTTTAATTTCTGCAGTTTTCCGCCTCCATAATAGAGGGGAGACAAATAGGAAAAGTTTGTATGATACATAAATATAAAAATACATACATGGGAATAAAAAAATTAAATAATACATAAATATAAAAATGTAAAAATTTACTATAATAAAATTAAAAATAAAAGAAAAATAATAAAATAAAACAAAAAGATAATAGAAATAGAAATTCAGGATTAATAATAAAAAAAACCTTTAATTACACATTCTAGATGCTTACATGCATGACTTAAGATACATCTGTACTAGATATAAAGGTTATACACTAGAATTTTAGAACTTTATTCAGCAAATAAAAGATATGGAAATGATTTCTCAAAATGCAGATATTGTGCCTCAATGTTCAGAGGTAGTTCACATCTCAGACCTGCTTGATCTGCATCTTAAACAAATCAGCTGCTCTAGCTGTGTGTTTGATTCTCGTCTGTACAGGTTTCATTCATGAAGACCACCTGCGAGAGCTGCTGACCACCATGGGAGATCGTTTCACAGATGAAGATGTGGACGAGCTCTTCAGAGAGGCTCCCATTGACAAAAAGGGCAACTTTAACTACAGCGAATTCACCCGGATTCTCAAACACGGGGCCAAAGACAAAGACGACATGTAGACGATCGGAGAGCACACATTACAAACACATCAGCATCTAGAAGTCAAGAAAAACACAGCATTTCATGTAATAAATATTCAGTGATCTATAAAAGAAGTATGTTTTCTACAAATGCATTTGATATGACCAGATCACATTGCTAACAATCTGTGTATTTTGTGTTTTTATGGGGGACTACAGTGTGTTTTTTAGTAGCTTAAAGCAATGCACTCTTCAGCTGCGGCTGGACGTCTTGAGCTTTCTGAATCTGTGCAACTCAGAAATGAAACTATTACATTGGAGATGCCATAAACCTGTAGGCATAGGTATTTTCCCATGTGCATTTATAAGGAGCATCTCACTGAGAGATATTATCAGATATCAAAAACATGATGGGTATTTTTAAACATTTTAAAGTCATTATAGAAAGTCATTCATGGAAGTAAAACTACAGCATGACAAATTCATAAAAAAGCTCATCTTTATTTTTTAAGCTGCACATTCTCCTCTTCGACGCAGACTTTGGGATAAGTTGAGTTTTCGGTGGTACTGCTACTTGTATTTTCCCATCAAACCCTGTGAAGATTTGGCTTATAAAATCATGTGGCAGCTCTCAGACATGAAGTCATCCATCATATGAACATGAAACATTTTATACTGAAATAAAGACGGTCTCAAGTATTTCTGTGCATGCAAAAATCATCACAAATATCCTAATGTGTGAAAATCTGTAAAATAAAGCTATTTCCATTACTCCACCACATTAACACAAATATATGAAAAACGAAGCTTTATTTTTCTGTAATGCTTGTAGAAAAAGACATCAAATAAAATCTTAAGGCAGATATTGCACAGACTAGTCCAAAGGTTTTCTAAGGAAGCAGGTAAGGCACAAATGCCAGCTTTACTGTCCTCAGTTATACATACACACAATCTTCAAAAAAAAAAATCCATTGGTCGTACAGGAGAGAGCTATGCAAATTTGATGTATATACACATTAAAAGCAGGTCTACACTCTAAAAAATACTGGGTTAAATATAACCCAGCGCTGGGTCAAAACCACCCAATAGCTGGGTTTGTCTTTTTTTAACCCAGCGCTGGGTTATATTTAACCCAGCATTTTTTTTGTGTATGCCAGACAAAAACCTGAATGATATATTTACATGTTTCACATTGTCATCCAGAAGACCCTTTTTGCAATAAGAACATCAATAATACAGTTCCAGGAATATTAATATTGGTCTTTCTGAAGAGGTGAAAAAATAGAGTACATTATATGAAATATATATAGATTTACTTCCAGTACCTATCACGGTTTCAGTAACTAACCCAACGATCACAGTGGTTTTGAAATGTTAGTTAATTAGATCTGTAATAGAGTTTGTGATGCTACAGTCGGTTTCTCATAATCAGCTCAAACATGGCTTTAAAAAAAAAAAAAATGCACCTTTTAGAATTGAATTAAAAACTCCCTTTGTGATGTCAGAGAAGGAAATAAAATGACTCAAACCCAAGAAGGAAAAGTCCATCAAAAACTACAATAAACAAACCTGAGACACACTGAAAAACAAGAAGAAACATGTACAGTACTACAGACGTGACCTCAATGAGAAATTACGCAGCATGATAAAAACTAATCAGAATTATGGGACGTTTGTGAGTGAATAAACTGAAATGACGAGAACCGCACCATAAGCATATTAAAAGGTTAAGATCATTACTATAAAGACTAATCTGTTCTCAGTTTCATGGAAACTACAAGCATAAAATCATAATGCATCTAGATCCTCTAGTGTCCAAAAAAAAGACAGATTTCAAGAGATTGCTCATGAAATCACTGGAAATAATTCTGTTTCTAAATAATATCTGTTAGTTCTCTAGATACATTCACAGATGCTGAGCGAGAAAGAAGCACTTCAGTTCATCTCAGAGAGGTACAAACAGACTTTAAATTCATCTTGGAAATGCATGAAACACGTTTAGCATCAAAAATAAATCCACTCACTAACACATACGCATGACGTCTCCCTCTACACTGAGACATGCTAAACACAATTATTAATGCGGATCATCTACTTCACCTAACAATACTGTAAGAACAATAATCATTTCAGCAAAAATAAAGCTGCAGCCCTATGATCACGTTACATGAGAAGTGAAGAAAATCAATGCCGGCTGTCTTTGAGACGACCTCCCGCATCTCAGACAGACACGAGACGTGAGGGATGATCTCTGCAGTACGATCAATTTCCTAAAGCGCACGTCACGGCACACGCGAGAGCGCTCGGATCTTATTCTGAGACTGGATAGACGATCCTGACATAACGACGAGGAGGTGAAATTGGACTATAAAGTGCAGGAAATATGACAAATATCACACTACTGGGAGAGACTTTCAAAGTTGAGATTGTAGAAGTAGAGGCTTCATCAGCAGTGGCTTTTCAGGCAAAATCGGAGCATAGTATTAAATCGAAGAGAGCGTATTTGGTTGCTAAATGCTGACATTTAAATGCTGCATGCTGGTCTTTGCATTCACAGATCACAACAAATAAGTAAAGCATGCTATACGACAGACAGACAGACGGCTAACCCTAGTGGATATACTGAGGAAAACGGGCATATGTGGAGCTTCTTTATCAAAAGCAATGCAAGGCCACTTCAACTACAAATGTTCAAATTAAAATCTCTTGGCTGTAAACCTGAGTTGCACAGGTTTGCTGGTGTTTGCACATGGTAATATTTCCACCTGAAAGGACCTCCACTTGGTCTCGAAGATCCCGGAGTCTGAAATGCTGGATTATTTTCGAAGAGCATTTTATGCATGCCCGTGAACTTCACATAGTTAAAAAAAAAGGTAAAGGGTTTTGGTTTAAAAAGTTTTTAAAAATGTCTTAAAAATACATTGTGGTGTAGAGAAGCTTCACTCCGGAATCCCCTGAAGTGAATTTCAGCGAAGAGCCTCTCTGGGTACCAAGCAACATCCAAACGGTATCCGTGACAACGATTTGGGGAGGCATCTGCTCCAGAGTCTTCCAACAAAAAGAAGCAAATAAATGGAGTCTAAAGTGAGTTGGTCTGCTTGAGTTTTTAGTTAACCGCTTCCGTGACCGTATTACGCGTGTACTGCGAAACCCATGTGTGTGATACCACATTCGCAGGTGGACCGGTTTGTCGGATGCTCCACGCAAAGCTTCCAGATTTCGCATCAGAGACACCAGCCGTGCTTAGATCGACGGGAGGGCCTGAGAAAGAGTGGCTCATGATGGGAACCGATACGGGTAATACTGAGGTCTCCGTCAAGCTCGGTGCAGCATCGGAATTTTCCCTTGAAGGAGTCTCCGAATCGCCATTCTGGATGAGCGCTCTTGAACTTTCGTTTGTAGGTCCGTTTGGTTGCTGCTGCATCGTTTGTTCTTTCTGCTGACTGACTTCTTGCTCGGCCGCTCGCTGCAGGGCCGCATCCATGCTGGCTCTAATGGAGACCAGAGGAAATATGCAGCACAGGCCTCGCCGCCTGCATTCCTGCTCTCTGACAACACCGCAGCTCTCGGACAAGGACAAAACACAGCGCAGACTGTGTGGGAAAGTCCAAGTCTTTGAAGATTACAGCCAAATGTAGAAGAGGATCAAAGACACAAAAAATAAAATACTAGAAAGAGAACATTTCTTAAACTGAACTTGATGATTAACAAGACTTTTGTCTCTGGTTCACTATGTAGCTTAAGCATGAAAGAAAAAACATGCTCACTTAAGACACAAGAAGGACAACTGACATTCATAACCAAATTAACAGGCTTATGTACAATATTCTGAAACCATATAAAAGCTGTGAGGAACAGACCAAAATTTAAGACTAAGTTTCCATTTATGATACTTTTATGGTAATTTTGCCCTCTTTTGTGCTTGAAAGCTTCAGTTTCACTGTTTTGCAGGGAAAATATTGCACAGATTTGAAACGAAGACAAGTAGAGAATCATTTTCAAATTTAGGCATCAATAAGTTTAAATTTATGATACATTTGTGGTAATTTTGCCATGTTTAGCCAATAAATACATTATAACTAACTAGAAACATACTATAGAAATTGTAATTTCTTTTCTATGGCCATTTAAAATTTTATTAATTCCCCAGATTTTTTCCAAGGCTGGAAAACCCATTTGAAATTGCCTGATATTTCCAGGATTATCAGAGGAATAGAGAGAAAGAGCACATGAAAAACATGAAAGCGAGTAAAGGACAATTTTCAAATTTAAGTCTAAATGAGATTAAAATGTGATCATTTTGCTGTATGTGCTTGAAAACTACAGTTTCATTGTAAATGCATGGACAATATTGCACTGATTTAAAACAAAGTCAAGTAAAGGACAGTTTTCAGCCTTTCAGCCTAAATAAGTTTACATTTGTAATATTTGATCATTTTGCATTTTGAACTTGAAAACTTTTTTAGTTTTTAAGTTTAATTGTAATTGCAAGGATATATCATATTGGTTTGAAACGAAGTAAAAGGACATTTTTCAAATTTAAGTTGGGGGGGGTGTAATGCTATTTCATGCATTGTGACTTATTTACACTGTTAAGAGTTGGATTCTCATGCTAAACATGGCCAAAGTGTCAAAAAACGAGTTGGTCGTATGACAGAGTATTTCTGTGCCAAATACACTCCTTCCAGGTTTAAATAAGTTTCGGAAAGTTTTTCCCGAGTATGGCCCTTCATGACGTCGTGAAGAGCGGAATTCCTTATAAATCTGATCAAATTAAAGACACTTCAGAGACATGAAGGATGCAATACTACTCTATAGGTACTCAAGATTAACATGAGATTGGCAGAAACGGTGCGTGTTATGTCCCCTTTAAAGTTTAAACTTATACTTTTGCATTCAAATGTCAAAGTTTTAGTTTTATTCTAATAGCATAGAAAACTGTCATACAGGTTTGAAATTCTAACTTAAGTCTAAATAAGATTAAAAGTATGACAGTTTTGCCTTTAGAGCTGGAAAACTTCATATTTTCCATGCAATTACAATGAAACTGAAGCAAGTAAAAGAACATTTTAAAATATAAGTCGAAATAGGATTACATTTATGATTGCCTACTTATTGCAATTTTGCACTTTGAGCTGGAAAACTTCAGTTTCATTGTAATTGCATGGAAAATATCATACTGCTTTGAAACAAATTCAAGTAAAGGTGATTTTTTAAAATCCAGGTCTAAAGTTTAAGTTTATGATACTTAAATGCTTAGCAGTTTTAGTTTTATTGTAATTGCATGGAAAACTGCATGCAGAAGTTCAGGTCGAAGGATCCCGTTACCCTCACCTGTGACACAGAGAGATGCGTCTGTCCAGACAGGCTCAGCTTCTCCTGCTCTGATGGATAAGCGTTGAAGCGATGCTCGTACAGCCAGTCCCTCAGAACCTGAACGGATTCTTTGGGGAGGTTTCCGCGGCGGCGGCGTTTGGCGGCAGACCCGCTTCTGCCGCTGGTGGACAGGTTGAGAGGGTAACTGTCGTCTTCACACGGGTCACTGTCCGACATGGCAGAAAACTCAGTGTCTCCGTTCTGGTCCTCCTCAAAAGCTGAGATGAAAACGACAACAGAAATACTAGTCTCAATACATGACAGAGGAATGAAAGTGATCTTGTTTAGGTCACAAAAAGTTTATCATAAATGCCACAGATGTGTATACTATGCAAAGTATGCACATTTTTGCATGCATAACAGCCAGAGGATCTTCTAAATTTGGCAAAATGTGCAGGAAAAGAGAACACACCGCATGCAATACTGCATCCTACAACGCAATGCTTCTATGTCATCAACGCAATTGAACTCATGCAACTGAAATAGCGAATCGGTTCTCATCTCACGGCTGAATTGTCTCGGTCAGCCATTAAATCCGCTTGACTGCACTCCATTTACACATCAAAACACTATTGAGTCTGAACTGCTCCTCCATTCACACCTTCTCCACGACAGTGTCTCCTCTCCCCCATCCTGACGCTCACAAACCAGAGGCAAATGAAGCTTATCTAGTGCTCAGCTGAGCTTTGCAGGTGGTCCAAAAACAAGTGTTTTAACTTTACAATGAGCATTATCATGAAAGCATTAACTGCTGCTTATCAAGACAATCATTATCACCAAATAAAGCACAGTATAATTCATGCAGTTGATTCTCAAAACGGCCATTAACAATATGTGACTGTAACCACCACTGAAGGGAATATGCTTTTTCACTGGCCCATTCCAAAACATTTGCCTTTGAGTTTTTGATCACATACTCGCCTCTGAATCATATTCATTAGCACGGAGATGAAAGACTGCATAGCTGTTGTTTTTATATGAGGTCGAGAAGTGCATCATTTCAAGGCCCTTAAACCCAAAACTAAAGTCAAAGCCTGTTTAGACAAGGCCAATAAACTCTGGACAAGCACCTTAACTACTAAATTAGTTTAATGCTAAATTAAATTCACATAAAAACACACCAAAAGAGCTTTTAACTCACCGCACTACCTAGTGTCACTCTATATACACCAGTTACTACAATTGTTGTTAATAGCATTACAGGATCTCCTTCAAACAATGCATTTTTGACAAGTTTCCACCATTTTACTTAAGCAACAATCACAGTATCAGCCTAAATACTGTATTTCTGACAGAAAGCGCCGTCACGGGGAAAGCACACGCTCATTTCTGTGTGATAGCTAAACTCAGACACACTCCAGCAGCTCAGAGTTTCTTTCTCCTGCTGAAACCTGAAGCCCTGAAGAGCAGCTAAAAATGTGGGAGTTCCTGAGACCCACTTTAACAAAGCAGATTGTGTGTGTGTGTGTGTCCTCTGGGCATTCATGCTCCAGTCTGCAACTGTATCCCTGTTTCCCTTATCATTTGTAGCAGTATGCATTTTCTTAAATGTATTTGACCAATGAAAACGTGGTGTTTCTTGAAGTGGTGGATGCATAATCCAAAATAGAGCCGCTTTACAGAATATTACATAAACTGAAAAGTCGACAAATATGTAAAATTACCTAGAGTGGAATAAAATATTAGGAACATCTGCCCTTCTGAATTTCATGTGACTTTTTTTCCTCGATTACACAACTATTAGTTCATGCACCTGAAACTCTAACATAAAACCAATGCAACAAATGCTTGAATGAACTCCACATCTACGACGTCATTTCCCCCTTCCTTACTTTCACATCGCATGCTGACCGAAACGCATAAGAATATTTGTAGTCCCAAACAAACACGAGGGCCACGTACAAACACACGATTGAGGAACCTCCGCGTCATTTACTGCAACTTTCTCGTTTTTTGAAAACGCTTACATTTGAAACTACACAGGTCTTCAAAAGAGATCAAACAAAAGTCTGTTTACAGACGCGAATAAACAAACGGGGCCGCAGCGCAGACGCGCGAAAAGGAACAAACAAACGCGCGCTGACGTCATCGGAGCACAATGATACAATGTAACAAACGCGTGGAAGTCAATAAAGCTGCAAAGATTCGAACTCATGAAAAGCAAACGCGTGGATCAGCCGCTTCACGAAAGGCCAGAATCAGGAGCACATCTGCGTTTCACGCGTTCAGCCTGGAAATCACGCCACGCGCAGATGGACAGCGTGTGGAGACACAGATCTGACGCTAAAGCAGCAGCCAAACGCGCAACACCCCGCACATGCAAACGACTCTCACCTCTTTTGTTGGGCTTCATCCTGGATGCTGGCAAAAATGCACAAAATGCTGGAAGTTGCTGGTGTGGAAACGCGGGTCCTCGTCAAGCGGAGAGTGTGTTCCTCACACACACACGAGTCAGATCAGAGGAGAAGCTCCAGTAATCAGTGAATCTGCTCATTAGTGTGTCATGAGGGAAACGCTCGTGTTGACAAACAGCCGTTTACCTGCTGCTCCAGCAAACTCTCTCTTTCTCCCTCCGTCCTCCCTCAATGACAGGCTCTAGATCCCTCCTCCACACTCTAGGGGCCAATAAGGGCCCCACATCTGTGTGTCATCACTCTTTCATTCAAGACTCACAATTCAAACACTTGTGAGAGAGTTCATTTTATTAGCTGCATTTTAAATTTGCAGTCCAGAAACTCCGCACATCTTCCAGGCTTTTAAATAAGTTATCTAATTTTGTATGGAACTAGAGTGATGTTTTCAAATTTGAATTGCATTTAAACTTTTATTTATTTATTTTTATCTAGCCCTATATATTTTATGTGAAATTGTGCTACAGTTGTACACGTGCTCTTCTAACAAATCAATTGTTTATAGAGAGTTTTTGTTTTGTAAATCCTATTTTGCATTGCATTATTTTCTTACATGCTGCAATATCTGCATTAGGCACTTGATATGTGCGCATATTTATTATTTATATCCATTTTAACTTTTCATTTGTGCATGTATTTTATTGTATATTTACTGTCTTTTTTTATCATTAATAACATAAATATTTTCACAATATAAATAAAATACATTTTTCATTAAAAAATATTTTAAATAGCCTATAAAATATATTTTTTGATTTAATAAAAACGTCAAGTTTTCAGCTATATAACTGCCGATAAAATATAGTACCAAATCTAAATTAATCTATAATGTAATTTACAATTATTTTAAAATGTTCCTTTTATGTAATTAGTTTAAATTAAAAAAAAGATAATTTATTTTATAATTTTGACTATGAATATTTCTTTCTATTTTTCTTATTCTACCTCCCATTTTTGCTTAGTATTATATTAGCTGTAAGAGGATATTTAATTGCAATAGCATTTTTTAAATTTTGTTACAATACTTGTATTCATATTAATAATAATCTTTCTATCCAATATAAACATCTGTGTTCCCTGCTTATCATTAATAACATAAATATTTGCATAATATAAATAACATTTTCATAAAAAATATTTTAAATAGCCTATAAAATATATATTTTTATTTTTTGCTTAGAATACAAATATGGGCTGGTCAAGGAAAATGCTCATATAGATGAATGTTTGTGTGAGTGTTCGTGTGAGTCTGAACCTGTGTATCTCAAACCTGTTGAACCTAAAAGTCTCAAAGTTCAAATATATTCATGGCATATGGACCATGACAGGATATGCAACATTATGTTTCTGAACAACAAAATGTTTCTCAATTACAAAGTGTAGCTTTTCCAACCCGGTCTGAACATTAACGCCTGCTGGAAGAAAAAGGTATTTTCATAAATGCAGTTTTTGTAGGAAATGGTTCAGTGTTAGTTTGCATACAGATCAGATTTGTGATGTATTTTCTTAATGCCTGTGGCAAATCTCACCCTTTCATATGCAGGAATGTGCAGTTCACAGTCACAGAGAACAACAACTCCTCTAAACTCTGAAAAGAACTGCTCATATTTCACGTCTGCAGCTACAGCTTCCTGACCACCGAGTGTGTCACATTCTGACCTGGATGGAGAAAATGGGTTTCAAAAGACCAAGACCACATTGAAAATGTAGATTTTTTGTTCTTTTTTACAATTTTATTGAGGAAATAAAGTATTTTATTTTATATTTAATTTCCTTTATTATATATATATATATATATAAAATATTTGATATTATATATATATATATATATATATATATATAGGGTGCCGAAAAAGAATTAAGAGTCACAAACACATTTGAACTTAACTCAGATTTACTGTATTTCTTACTAAACAAAAGACCCTGACATACACAGCCTAAACTTCATATAGCATTAGACATATTGAACAAATCCTAGTCAGTAAAATATGTGCTTGTTTCGTAAAATATTGATTATCAATCTTTATAATAATAATCTTAATTCTTGTTGCTACAAACTCTTGCATTTAGATGATTTATTGTTTGACCCCCAAAAACTAGTAAAACAGCTGAAGAGAGAGAGCGCGTCCCGTCAGGTGGATGTGGAGATCAGAGAGGGTTCGACCGCTGTTGTGTTACTCCACTGCTCAGTCACTTAACAGGTGTATAAAAGAGTTTATCTAGTATCCAAGCAGCATGAACAGAGAGGCGCAGAACACACATCCCTCTGTTGCAAACGAGAGTTTCTCCAAAACGCATCTGGTGTGCTGAGGAGATAAACACGGCTTCTGAAGCACACGCTCTCTCTGTGTGTGATCCACGAGAGGGCCGCGTTTGTGCCGTCGTCCTCAGGGAAGCCCACAAACATGATCGAGATCACATGATCGGGAAATGAATGATGTGAAAACCAGTTTCACAACACTGAAGCACTAGACAGTGAAAAACACAGGTCGTCAGGTGGACAATTTAAAGACATTCAACTGATACAATAATGTCTTAGAAGTCCAGACAAATAAATGATCGTAACATGGAATCTATAGAGTGAATAGTCAAAGACAAATGCGTATTTTTGCAAACATTGGTGTCGGTTGATTTGTCTGTATTTCTCAGTGCTTAAAACATTCGTGCTGCAGGAGCGTCTGATTTCATCTGAGACGCTTCAGTATGTCATAACTACAACCATAAAGCATCCGCTTACTGAATCCCTGAACAGAATAACTGTTGTGTAGATACAGATAATGCTGACAGTAACTTCTGATCACCGTGTGAAGATGCAAAACTCAAATGTTAGGCATTTGCTGAACAACTGAAAATAAAATAAGACGAAAAAGGTACCCACATTAAGATTTGTATTCATTTTTATTAATGGAAAATGCTCATTTTAACATTATTTATAAGTTTCTGTATGTTTTTCAGTTTTTAGATCCATAATGCATCTAGATGTTTACTTTCAAGTTTTTGTGTATAATCCCTTTCTTTTCATATTTATTCATTACTAATTACTGCAATGCATTATTAATGCATTTAAATAAATGAAATTATTTTTAAAATAAATTAAAGTATGAAATAACTCATGATACATAAACACCATAAAAATATAGAATACATAGGAGTTACTATTATTTAAATTCTATTTATACAACATGGCAGAGTTTTTGTGCTCGTCTATGCAGATTTCATTGGGAAAATAGTACAAAAGGCTGGTAAAACATTATTAAATCAGGTTTCCCACAGGAAATATGAGCCTCGAGTTTACTAAACACAGGATATGAGTATTCAAATACTCCTGTACGATCCTGATCCATTATTCTGGGTTTATCTGTGGCTGTCAGACGTTTGCAGGGCTGAATATGAGAGGACAGTCAGACATTCAGCAGGCGTCAACGACTCAACCGACACCAAATGGAGCGAACGACTGGGAGAAAGAGGCAATTCACACCGGCAACGACACAGCCCATCACTGAACTGTTAGTGGAGCCGCAGTTTGCGCTGATCTGGGGGACATTTGTCACTGAATGCAGAGCTGCAATAGTTCATGAGTTCATGACAATGTATGTGATGAAAAATAATGTATAACGTCAAAGTTTGGGGTCAGTACGATTTTTTTTTAAAAGAAATTACAACTTTTATTCAGTAAGGATGCACTGAATTGATCAAAAGTGATAGTAAAGACATTTATACTGTTACAAAATATTTATATTTCAAATAAATGCTGTTCTTTTGAACCCTCTGTTTATCAAAGAATCCTGAAATATAAAATGTATCACAGCCTCCACAAAAATATTGGGCTGTTTTCAACATTGATAATAATCAGCATATTAGAATGATTTCTGAAGATCATGTGACACTGAAGACTGCAGTAATGATGATGAAAATTCAGCTTTGATCACAGCAATAAATTACATTTTAAAGGAACACTCCACTATGTTTGAAAATAGGCTCATTTTTCAACTCCCCTAGAGTTAAACAGTTGAGTTTGACCTATTTTTGAATCTAAAATAGGCTTATTGGAAGTTACCTAGCTGGGGACTATTTTCAGGCGCTGCGTAATATCATTGCGCCTGCTGCACTCATGGTACGGCAGCAAAGTTCCATGATTATTACGCCGGAATGAGAGTATAATTCCTAGCCATATCGGCCTAGAAAATCACAACTTTTCATTTTCCGTCGGTCTTAGTACACGATGTAACTACAGAAGAGTCAAGTTTTAAATAGGAAAAATATAGAAACTATTTGCTCATTTTTGAGCGAGATGCTAACGGTCTAATCAGATTCAATGATCTATGCTAAGCTACAGCTAAAAGTGCTACCGCCAGACCCGGAGATCGGCTGAATGGATTCGAAAAACGGTAAAACTCAACTGTTTAACTCTAGGGGAGGCGGAAAATGAGCCTATTTTCAAAAATAGTGGAGTGTTCCTTTAACAGATATTCATATAGAAAACAGCAATTTTAAATTGTAATAATAATTCACAATATTACAGTTTTTACTGTATTTTTGATCAAATAAATGCAGCCTCGGTGAGCAGAAGAGACTTCTTTCAAAAACCTAAAACCAACCCCAAACTTGTTAATGGTAGCGCATGGAAAGAGTTATGAAACGGAGTAAGTTTATATTGGACAAATCAGAAGTCAGATTAAGTATACAAAGGATGAAATTAATAAAACTGCATTAAGATTAGAATATGTAGGTAAGATTTCTTAACTTGCAGCTTTATCAAATACTTTTATCTAATCACCTTCTTTGATAAAAAAAAATTCCAAGTCCAAATCGAGTCACATTTTAGTCACGACATCAAATGTGCATTTGTAAATCTCATATCGACTGTATTTGTGAAAATTCCCAGTAAACACTTTCTCAAGAGTTTACAACATCCCTGATCAACAGTTACAGAAAAGTCTGCTTTATCTAGTCAAATCTGTCATATCTGATACTATATTTAAACTAACAGGAGAAAAATGGGAGAAATGATGAGGAGCGCCAAGTGCAGTTTGAAAGAGAAACTGAATGATAAAATCATATTTAGCTCATTACTTAAGTTTTATCAAACTGCCCACAAAGCGTCTACACTACGTGTTTTAGGGAGCGCTGATTAAATCGTGATATTATAATCTCACGGGGTCATAGCCATTACCCACAATAATGATCCACAGGCACTTCATTCAATAAAATATCAGGTTAGGTTGTTTTTCTTAAAGCGAAGCAGAAAAAAACAAGGAATACTGGGATTGAAAACCTGCTGAAGCACATCGACAACCGTGAGACTCCAGGACCTGAGACGGAGAAGCGGCTGAGGTACGACAGCTTTCGGTTGATATCCCACAATGCATGATTTGTAAACATCAAAACAAATTCGACAGGAAATGGAAGAGCGCCACCTGCAACACACGACATCTGTTTATCAACCAGCAGGCTGGAGAAAAGCGTTTTCTCTAAATAAGAGACGAGGAGCATCACCGGCTGAAGGAAGAGAGGAAGAAGAACAGAAAGCGAAGCGTGTAACAGGAAGACGTGAATTTCAGCGGGGAAAGACGCGAGCGGTGGGCGACAGACGGGTTACAGGAGTTCTTATCTAAAATATTAGAACATTTCAAACAATCTGATAGAATTTAGGACAATAATCATTATCAATAGCAGTTCGATCTTAATTATCATATCAATAATAATATTATTAGTGCTGTCAAACGATTAATCGCGATTAATCGCATCCAAAATAAAAGTTGTTTGCATAGTATATGTGTGTGTTCTGTGTATAATTATGCATATATAAATGCACACACATACAGTATATATTTTAAAAATATTTACATGTCTATATTTACATACATATAATTTATATTATAAATAAATATATGAAATATATAAACATAACCTATTTTTCTGAAATATATACATGCACGTGTGTGTATTTATATATGGGTCAAAGACGAAAAAGAGTTTAAGCATAAAAACAATAAGTGTAATACTGCTTTAAATTGTTGTTGTTTTTCCCCCCAAAATTTTAAGTTTAATTTAATTGCAATTTTTTGTTTTTCGGAGCAAAAAATAAATATCATACATTTTCCCCTGATTTACAGAAGATGCCCACTAAAATGTCATTCAGTGTAACAATCTCGTCAGGCATATTTACAACAAAAATCTATTTATGACATATTAAAAGACTAATTACTTACACCCCAAATACTAATTAGTTGTAATTTTACATTCTTTTAAATTTGCCACCATCCTAGGTTTTGCCCATTTGTCAGCAAGAATTTGTACTCATATAAAACCCAATAAAATGTAATATGCTCTCTTATTCTTTTATATATTTTAATATGTACAGGTCAGAATAAACATGTTGTTTGAATTTTTACATAACTATAAGTGTTACACTGAATGACAATGTAACATTATTTCAACCAAATTTTGACATTTTATTCTCCAAAAACGTATTCGAAACCTTACATGTAGACACTTTACTTACATTTAATGTGCTTTCTATGGACATAAAATCACTTTTGTAAATTTCTTTTGATGCGGACATCTTAACGTCTTTGACCCACATACATAATAAACATACACAGCACACATACATATAGTATGTAAACAAAAACTTTTATTTTGATTGCGATTAATCGTTTGACAGCACTAGATATTATTAATTGCAACTATTAAGATTCGTTGTGAGGTTTTCCTTGGCAGTCCCAAAAAAAGTGTTCCGTTCGCACCGCGTCGTTTCCATCACCTGCATTTATTAAACATCGGCGTCAAAAGACAAAAGCAGCTTTTCGTATTGTGTGTGTGACGCCGGAGCCCTTGAGCGTGTTTGGTGTGCGTCTCCTCAGAGCCGCGTCTGCGCCTCGGGCACGTAGATCTCGATGCTGTCGGCGCTCTCCGTGGCCGAGTTCTGTTTGACCGACTGAGCTCTCTTGGCCGCCATGAGCCGCTTGCGAGCCTCCTGTCTCTGTTTGTCCACCGCGTCGTTGCTCTTCTCTCGGCCCAGGCCGGGTGTACTCTTCCCAGGCTTCTTCGGCACCGGAGGAGCCTGTTTCTGGTTCTCCTGAACGTCACGCGGCTGGAAAGATCACAAACCATAAGAAACACACTCTTAATTAGGGCTGCGCCATTATGACAAAACTAGAACTGTCGATTATTCCCTTGAAATTGTAATTGCGATTATTAATTACGATTATCACAAATTTATGTTTTGAGTAGCTTTATACCATTGCTTGAAGCAACTGCATGCCATATTTTTATATGAAAATAAACAAGCTGAAAACACTCTTCCTAAAAAAACTTGCATTGCTTTTCTATAGTATTAAGCCTCAAATGTCAACTATCCATTGGTTTGGTTTC